AGCCATCCGAAATCACCCCGAGCCCCCGGGACCTCAACCAAAGCACACATGCTTAAAACATCATACGAACTTGACTCCAATCATCAAAACACACCTAACAACACTAAAATCATCAATTCACATTGAATTCAAGCCTAAGTTCTTCAAGAATTTCCGAAATGCACTTTCGATCAAAAACCCGACCAAACGATGTCCGAATGACCTGAAAATTTGCACACATATCCAAAATCACTTAACGAAGCTACAGCAACTCTCGGAATTCCATTCCGACCCTCGGATCAAAATCTCACATATCAACCGGATTTCGCCAAAATGCTAACTTCGCCAATTCAAGCCTAATTCTACACCGGACCTCCAAAATCAATTCCGATCGCACTCCTAAATCAAATATCATCCCCCGAAGCTAACCAAATCACCGGAAATCACAACCGAGCCCTATAACTCATAAGTCAATGTCCGGTTGACTTTTCCAACTTAAGCCTTCTTAAAAGAGACTAAGTGTCTCATTTCTTATCAAAACCAATCCGAATCAACTCTAACTCACCACATACCGTTAATGAAACATGAAGAAGTAATAAATGAGGAAAACAGGGCAGAAATACCTGATACGACGGGTCGGTTCGTCACATCCTCCCCAACTTAAACCAACGCTCGTCCTCGAGCGTACCCAGAGTTGTCCTAGAAGCTAACCAACAGCTGAATAACTTTACCAAGCATATACCCGGGGTGATCCCTCGTCACCCTATCTCGCATAGGTCCGATAACACAATATAGCTGAAATTTCACAGTCCATCTAAACCATAAACCGTAGAACCACCTTGCACTTTCCGAAATCATACACAAGATCAGGACCTCACATCTATACTCAGAATAAACCCGAACCAGCTGTAATAACCCATACCCGCAACCTCAGGTGAGATCATATGATATACCACATGGTCCAAACACTCGAAACGGTAGCCTCTATTCACAGCAGTTGCCTACAATAACCAAATACCGGTAGAAAACCTCTTATCAACTAAGGTCTTATTCCAACACTTTCATATAATGCCAACGATAAATGAAACATGCCATAAACCGTAACCATTTCTCATATCAACCATTCATGAAGCCGCTTCCCCTTTGACTAATACCACAACAGATTTCCGGGCTAAATCTCGATATTATCCTTCTAACAAGCTGAAATCAAATCTGTCCGTATTCATTAATGAGTCCAACGATCACCTCGAATCCAACACACCACTCCGGTGACACGACACCTCAATGCAGGCCTAAGCCACAACTTGCATAATACACGCACCAACAAGAAACGGTCTGAACATACTCAAGTCATGACAATTGACTTAAACGAAAGAGCTGTACCTCAAGCTCATCAGTACCATCACAACACAAGGCTGAGACCCCGTATCACATCATAGAAATAGAATGCCTCAATCTACCTCGAAGGGTCATAACTCCGCGTAGCCTCGCTACGATGCGCGATCATATCCAAACACTGCTACACATGAAGCACCTTAATACACTGTGATCAAAATCCGACAGCTACACACAATTTGATATCTGAAACCAAAGCAATTCATTACCCCCAACAGTGAAGCAAGTAATATACACCATTCAATCCTGAAAGGACACAACCGACGCGCTATTCGCCGAGCAACACCCAGTACGGACTTTCCTCAGAAACCAGGAAGCAAGGTATATAAGGTAACATATGGAAAACAATTCTCAACATCACACTGTTGCGGCGTGCAACCTGATCCAGATAACATACCCGTGGCGGCGTGCCACGCGATCCACACAAATATCTCACATAGGGAGATGCACATCGAACCAAATTTGTTCACTATAACAAAATACCGAGTATCGGTCGTAAGCATACTGAGTGCATAATGGTATCTACATATAGCGTTGTAAGCTACAAAACTCAAACACCACTGAGGTCCCACCTTCAACTTCCACTATGAATCTCGATAGCACCGCACTATATGTGCCCACAGTCCGAAAATCATAACGCCTCACCGCACAGAAAAAGAAACAACTCATAGATCTTCCCAAATCACCAACCAGTTCAAGAACAATCGAATCAACCTATCCTTCAGCAATACAGCTCAGGGCTAACCAAGCTAACTCAAGCTAAATACGTAGCCACATTGGCCTGCCAACGAACTCAATACCAAGAAGCCTGAAGCTGCTCCTTCCACCACTATAACTCCTGCCGGAGCCGTACGATACGGTGCCCGGCACCAAATC